AGTCAAAGGAAGGAGGGGGGAGGTGCGAACGCGGGGAGAGACAGACAGAAGTTGGTTTTTAAGTCGCTCTTTGTGTGCGGGACACGGCGAGGAGAGCCGCTCTCCGTGGCGGGACAAAGAAAAGACCAGAAGGAGAAAGAAAAACATCCAAATATGAGGAGGTGCTGAGTCAGAGCCGACAGGAGGAGACGAGGCCGGAGGCAGAGCGGCAGAGAGGCCCGACCCGGTCCAGAGAGTCGGCGCTGAAACAACACGCTGACATGAATCATGTGTTCACCTGGATTCATCAACACATGGAGCGAGAATCTGTCCTTCAATAAATAACACACAGAGGCATTATGGGAAATCAGCTGTTCGCTCTGTTCACTCCTTTAAAATCCAGTTTTCTCCTTTATATCAAACTAAACACCTTCAAGAGAACTCATAAAACTTTAGATCCAGAACACCTCAAACACCGAACCACATCCCTGTGCAGTCCACGAGTCTGTGTGTTGGTTTTTAGTTACTCTGAAGGTCCGCACACACCGGGAGCAAATATACGACACGAGGAGACTGATCCAACAGCAGACTGAGTGTTTTCAGTTCTGATCAGACTCTAGTGTTGAGATGTCTGTCTGTCATGATGGACTGATTTGGGTCAGAACCAGATAAACACATGAAACTATAATCCATAAACGTGAGGGAACAACAGAGACCTGATGGAGCTGTGACTGAGTTTACAGTGAAAATACAGATGGTCTGTTGTATCTGAACAGGTTAGCTTAGAGCTAAAGTTACTTAGCACAGATGAAAGTTCAAACAAAGACGTTTATCAAACTGTTAAAGCTCACAAACCATCGTCATCGGAGAAATCCGACACTATGACTCTCCACAAGTCGTCCTTCAGGTCGTTATCTTTGTAATGTTTGTGTCTTTATCAAAAATCACTCTGTTCTCCGACACGGAAACAATCAGCCGGTCGGCCATGTTGGATATACCGATGAATCTGACGTCGCAACAACACGCAATCTGATTGGTCAGAAGTGGACACAGTGAGCGAAACAGAAGGCGACGTTCAGACTGAAGGTCATTCTGATGTTTTAACCATCTGTGACTCATATCTGATTTTTTCATGTTCGTGTGAACAGGTCAGTTCTGATTGGTTCTGATCCGACCCTCTTCTGTATGTGGATATAAATCAGATATGTATCTGATGTGACTGCAGTGTGACGCTCAGGTCGAGTTCATCTGACCTTTACGTCATCAATATGAGACAAACGTCACCATTGTTCAACACAAACAGGAGCGGAGAGATATTTGTGTTTTTTGAGCGTGTGGGTTCACGTCTGTTCACATTAGGTGACACATTCGTTGTTGTTACGTGAACGACCGCACAAAAAGATCGGATTTAAGAAAAATCTGAATTTCTGTTTATATGCATATTTAACTCTGTTGCGTTGTTTATATATAGTGAACATACTTGTATTTTGTAAAACTGAACCTTTTATGTATCTCGTCTTTCTACTTTATTTGCTCGGAGTGACTGAAACAAACAGCGATTTTATGAAAGTATTTCTGATTCTGTTCTCTGGAATAATTGTCAGTTCTGCATATTTCATACAGTACGGAGCGGCAGAACCAGAGTGACAGATTCGGAGTCCTGTGTGGGTGTTGTTGTGTGTCCACAGACTTTTGGCCATCATGTGGACGTCAGCTGTTGAGTCTTCAGTGTAAAAACGTGGAGCAGGAGCCTCAGGAGAGCAGCTCCAGGTCCAGCAGCCAAACAATAACAGTGAAGAAGTCGTCTCACGGGCCCCAAATACAGAACCCCCCCGTTAGCCGACACGCTCTCTGTGGGTTTCCACGTCACTCTCGAACCTCTCTGCCGCTCTGAGCTCCAACTGTTCTGCGTTTCTCCCCACAGTCTGGATGTTCGACTGACAGTCAATGGTGGGAAAATACTGTCTAGGACCCAGACGTTTTTCCCACCATTGACTGCAGTTCATTTCCAAGCAGCCTGTGGAGCGAGCCCATATGTGTGTGTGTGTGTGTGTGTGTGTGTGTGTGTGTGTGTGTGTGTGTGTGTGTGTGTGTGTGTGCAGACAGCTTAACTCAGCTGTTGGCTTGGCTCTTGTACTTCTGGGCTCACTGTTCCTCGTTGTGAGGGGGGGGCTCGCTGCCGCAGACATGAAGGTTTTGACTCCGGTTTGACCTCTGCGACCTCTTCCCCGGAGCGCCGTGCGTGTCACCTGACTCTCTCACCTCACCTTCATCCTGCTGCGCAAACTTTTCTCACTTAGAGTTCACTCCACGTTTCTGTCCGGCCTGACCCACTGAGACGGTCGTGTTTTCTGGTGAGTCAGCCTCGAACCCGGGGGTCTGGGCGCTTCGTTCGGGGGTTACCCTCGGGTCACCGGGTGTCAGGCGCCCTTTGGACTCTGCGGGCCTCGCACATCCACGACCGGGGCGCTCTTGAACAGCCAGACTCCTGTACAGTACGGTGCCTGCGCATACATGCAAACATGCAAACATGCACACTCAAGTTAAGCAGTCATGTGACACACACAGTTGCCATGTGACGGCGTTTTCCTCCCCCCCGCTCCCCTCGCCCTCCCTCTTTTCTCCTATCTCGCTCTCTTTTTGGAGTTATGCTCATTGAGGGATGTCAGTGACTGCGCTCATGACTATTATGGGATGCCACGGGGGAGGGAGGGGGTGAGCGTCTCCATGGCAACCCCGGTTGCTAAGGGAGGGGGTGGAGGTGCATGGAGGAATGGGGAAGAGACTGTAGGAGAGGGAGGGGTGAGTTGACTATTATGGTCTGTACGTTGCAAGGTAACTATGCAGAGTGGGGGAGGGGTGACAGAGAAGTGTGTGTGTGTGTGTGGAGGGGGGGGGATATTATGGGATGCCTGCCCCCTGATCTCTTTGTGTGTGCGTGCGCGCGCGCGGGGTGTGTGTGTAGTGTGCGAGGGAGAGAAAGAGGAGACGGCGTCGTGCGCACACGCTGCACAAAAACACGGAAATCTATTGAAATTGTCCTTTTTCCGTGACCTGATCAGAAAAAGAAGCTTCCAAGTATTGATTGATTGATTGATAGGTAAAGTGAGCCCGGAGTTACAGTGAATTCAAGTTGTGAGTATCTCAGTTTTTATTGTTTGTGAAGAGTCAGGGTAAGATGGTGGGAGAGGACAGTGATGCCGGTCTTTCCGTCTGTCTGTTTGTTTGTTAGAGAGTGATTGATTTTTGGAGATTATTATTATTAATCTTTCTCAGCCTTTCAATCCGAAAGCCGGTCAAGCTGAGCTAGCTGCATGCTAATGCACGAACAAACGAGAGTGGCAAAGATGGCATAATGTCATCTGAGATGGAGCTGATCCGAGCAGAGAAATAAAGTTAAATTGTTTGTTTGTAGGAGAAACTCTGAGTGTCTGTACTCTTTTACCGGGAGCTCTAAATTCACTTCCGTTTTCTCTTTTTCTTCTTATTTCCCTCTCTGCTCCTCTCACGACCACGACTTGGACCGACTCAAGACCGGGTCATAACTCTGGATTACCCTGCAGAAAAAAACACATAAAAACTTCATTTAGTTAGCTAAACTGTTAGCTAACTAAATAGAAAAGTTTTTCGGCTGTTTGCTATGTCTGGAAGCGAGGACGACAGAGATGATTACGGAGCCCCCGATGACCGGTTAATGCACGGTAAGACAAGCCTCATTTGTTAGCCGAACATGCTAATGTTCACGCTGGTTCGTATGCTAGCATGAGCAGATGTTTTCTGACATTCATATCAATCATTAGCGAAGCTGCTAACTGCCGGTGTTGTGTCGAAGAATGCATCCCTGCCGAAGAATACATCCCCCGACGGAAGCGCGGTTTAAACTACATAACAAGGCGAAATAATCCGAGTTTTCCTCAACGTAGGATGGATTCAGAAGCGTGTGCCTTTAATTAATTCATTCAGGCTACTCAGATAAACCGAAGATATAGTTTTCTCTACCTTGACAGCTTACAGTATAGTTTATATACCCATGTACCCCTCTGTATGTGCATTTTTGAAACATAAAAACAGAATGAAAGTTTGCTGCGCCATTAAACATATTGTCATGATCAAATACTTGTGTTTTTGTAAAATATGAGATCATTTTTCTTCCACTTTAAGAAGCTAATGAGTGGATTGGATGCAGGGGGGAATTCTACGGCAGGGGTGCATTCTACAGCACAACACCTGGTAGCTCGCGTTAGCGGCTATGTCTGCAAACTAGTTTTTTCAAACAAATGCGCCGCTGCTAATCGTCGAAATAAACCTCTTTGTTTTACATCATCTTAAGTTAGAAGCGTTTTGGTTGATAGCGGCATCGTAGTGAAGTCACGCCGATCGACCGGCATGTTCCCGGGGCCTAACGTTAGCCAGCTACCGGTATTTTTTACGTGTCGATGACAAGATGGAGGCAGCCAGTTAGCTTGGAAGCTGGCGGATGACGTTCTGAACCATTCCCCTCCTCATGGCCGGCGCCTTCAATTTGACTGCGGGAAAAAGTGAAAATTATCCCGTTTAGTGGAAATATAAACGTTTATCTGACCAAAATGTCGGTATTTTTTACATTTCCAGTCTTTCTGTCGCGGCCGAACAGCGCACCGTAACAGTTTGTATCACTCCGACGAGCACGCGCCGCGAACCTTAAACAGTGAAAGCGTTAGAGAACAAATAGTCCTACAAGTTAGCTTCGAGTGCTAAATCCGACCTAAACAGTGAATAATGTCATTAAAGTCGACTAAACATCTAACAAACGGTACATGGGATGTAATGTAAACAAAACGGAGAGTCTCTGAAACTGTGGAAAGTAGTTCACACCGACGCTAAAGTAAACGTTATTTATGTGAGCAGAGAAAAGCGTCCAAACTTTGATGGATAACTCTTAATTATCGTATATCTTCAGACAATTTACGGTGGATACTAGAAGTTAATGCTGATGGAGTAATAAAGAAGAGGAGCAGCAGCCGTTGATTAACATTATTCCTCACAGCTCTCCTTGTTTCTGTCTGGTTGACTTTTACAGCAGATCACTTTACAGTGAAAAGCAGAATAAGCAACATTAACTAAGTATGTTGTTGATGTGTGAAACAGACCGTTCAGTTACTCTATCTATTTATGAATTTCACAAGCCAGTTGTGTTTTTAGATCCCAATACCTGACCATCCATACTCAGTAGTTTCCTAGTGATGGAAATAGTAAAGTATATCATTTATTGATAGTATAGGTGGGAATCCACCTTTAAAACCACTATAAATTCAATAATACAACTGCAAAAACGAGCTATACATATTATAAATAAGGCTGATTATTATGATCACACAGAAATTCTCATGTTGTGAAATTTTATGATCTGTTTTATTATAAAATACTGCAAATTATGTTTAGAGCAAAATCAAAACTGCTCCCTGACTCAGTACAGAGGTTCTTTTAGATTCAGGACAGTCCGTATGATCTCAGATTTACTGAACAGAAAGCTTAAAAAAGGTCTGAAAAAGAGACGTGTCTCTGTTACTGGAGTTAAATTCAGGAATATAGCTATTTTTGAAGCTTATAAGTGCGATTAATTCTCTGTTGTTGTGGTTTCTTTGCTTTTCTGGAGGCCTAAAAAGTTGACAAAACACAGGATCGGCTTTTAGAAACAGTCTGCTTCTGCCTTTTCAGTCAATATTCAACACATGATTCTTCAGTTAGTGATTTAGTGTGAAATGTCAGTATTGTGTACAATATTTGGTGTTGTAGTGACTGAATGACAGCTACTACTACTACTATTTTCTATGGCTGGCATAAAAGTTTGGTGCGTCACTTAATAGTCATAATAATATATTTTATTTATATTCGATTTACATCTGAGAAAAAACATCTCAAAGTGCAAACAGTGAAAGACAAGAGTAAAAACTACCAATGAAAAGAACAACAGTCAGAGTGTAAAATCTGTCACTTGTAGTTTCTGTCAGTGTTATATTAATTTGTCTTTAAGAAGTAAATGAACTCAGATCTCATATAACAAAGTTTCACAGCTGACACGTATTTTTATAATCCCCACTTTTGTTTTTGTTGTCGAGGCTTTTGTCCTAAAAAAGTTTTAATCTGAAAGGATCTTCGACCTTTAGCGAGTTGATGGACTCTGTTCACATTATCCTTTGACTCATATTTACAGCCCGACAACCGCAGTCATACTCTCATCTTAGTCTCCTCTATTCGACCTAAAAAGCTCATTACATTAAAGCGTTGTCTCGACATGGCAGCGTGCCATTGACTTTTTAGCATAGTGAATTAGATCAGGAGCATCATTATGCTAAAAGTTGGAGCGAAGGCCTGCGAGAGTTTGCAGTAAGTCATAATGACTAAATTACAGTTTCAGCCTCTTCTTTTCGCCGTCTAATCACAGTCCACATCAGTATTGTTTCACCGCGGTCTGGGAGACCTGGTCATGGAGAGACAGCCTTTATAAGATCACAGGTAGACAAAGGCTGCAGAGGTTTGATCGGAGCTTTACGAGCTCGTCCAGGTTGTTTTGTTGTTGTTTGCTGATATGCTTCATATCCTCAGCTCTTTGTGAAGAAAATGATCATTTATCACGATGTCTTGAGGAGTTTCTCGATCGTAAAAAACTTGTTTCCCCCCGTTTGTAGATGATGAGGAAGAGGAGATCTCTGAAAATGAGACCCCCAAGGTGAAGAAGAAGAAGAAGGCCAAGAGGAGCAAAGAGAGCAAGAGCAGCAAGCGGCGGTCCCGCAGAGAGGTAAGAGCGCCGGGTCTGATCACTTTGAGAAACCATCACCTTCTTTTTCAATCTCAGTCCCGATAAGACCTTCAGTCAAGAATAGCAGCACCACTGAGTTCCCATTCGATAAGCATTCCTCCCATTAAAAGCTGTGACTGTCCGGTTATCTTCTCATGGAAGCAAAGCAGCGATTACAGTCAGAATATCCCAGGAAGTGGACCCCCAAACCCTCAGAAAAACCCGATTCAGATTCAGAGTCCTGCTTCGAAGAGTGAACTCTGACCTTTTTACAGAAACACAGATCCTGCTCTTCTAGTCTCATCGATAACACCGTCGGTGGTTTTTATTTGTTTAGTGTCCTCTAAGCAGTCTCCAAATTCAGGTCACATGATCGATTTAGTTCTGGTTTATTTAGATTTACCTGAAGTACACCTCTTCTCCAAAGCGGATTACGTCCCTCACAGTTATGAAGTCCGAGGATTTGGGGTGCTGGTCTGGCTTAACAGTTAAAGCCCCTGGACCATGAACAGAGGCTGAAGTCCTGGTCGTGGAAGTTGCTGGTTCAGCTGTTTCTCGCTTTAGTTTGATCAGATAAAGTATTTAGATTTCAGGGACATTAAGACCGTTATTTTATGATCCATTATCTCCATCCGTGTGTCCTCAGTTTGCTGATCTCTGTCGGTTTTCTCTCCTCGTTTCCAGGAGCTCCCCATCAGCTCCCCAGAGCCCATGGACGTGGGCGGGGTGGAGGAGGCAGAAGATGGCGCCGCCCAGCGCTCTGACAGCGAGGGCAGCGACTACACTCCAGGACGCAAAAAGAAGAAGAGAGCCAGCAGCAGCAAAGACAAGAAGAGGAGCAGCGCCGCGGCCGAGAGGAGCGCCTCCAAAAAGAAGGAGCCGGAGCCTGAAGAAGAGGAGGAGGACGATGACGACGACGACAGCATGGTGAGGAAGGTCTCCCACATCAGATCCATCAAAACTGTGAACGCTCAGAGAGAAGACGATCACAACTCTGACCTCTGACCTCTGAGACAAGGTTAAACCTTGAGCAACAGAACCAGGTCTGAGCCTCAACAGAGAGTTTAGCTGGTCCATCTTAACCCTCACTGGACCTTTTATTGATCAGACGGGGCCCTCAGACCGGCTCATGAGAACTATAGAACCCAGTTTCAGATCGATGTGATTGGTCGTTACTGGCGAGGATGCGTCTTGAACCGTGTAGTTTGATTAACATGATAGAGACCAAAAGGTTCGACGTTCACTCTGCAGGTTCTGACGCACAATTCCGATTTTTAGTTAACTCCGATCTTTTTGACCCTCATGAACACAAAACACAAATATCTCCCCGCTCCTGTTTGTGTCGTTGAACAATGGTGACGTTTGTCTCATATTGATGAGGTAAAGGTCGGATGAACTCGACCTGAGCGTCACACTGCAGTCACATCAGATACATATCTGATTTATATCCACATACAGAAGAGGGTCGGATCAGAACCAATCAGAACTGACCTGCAGTCTGAACGTAGTCTCAGTGTAAACCTGGTCCAGGACCTGGGTGGTCTTGGTGAGTCAAATGAAACAGAGACGGTGTCGTTGAGGTTCGGTGTTTCCGTCTCTGCTCCTCGTCTGTTCACTGAACCTCCTTCAGACGTTCACGTCTTCATCTCTCCTGAAGTTCGAGGTTCAGAGAAGTCGAGTTCATCCAGGGTTCGAGCAGAGATGATCCACTTTAGAATACAGACTCTCAGTTCGCTGTGAATTATGGGACTTTGTCGTGTTGAATACACGTCACTGTTGGCCGCTTGCTGAGATAGTAAACAACGCCATGATGATGCTCTTATAATCCGGTTCTACATGGTTCTGTTGGGTTCTGTTGAGACGCTCCGGTGGTTCTGAAGGATGACGTCAGTGTGTCACACGTCTGTAGAGCGGTCTGTACGGTTGTGTTGCTGACGTCAGTCTGTGTTTTGAGGGTCTGCTGAACGTTCAGATGTTCGACTGAAACTAAAAACTGAAAATGTAGCAGCAGATAAAATCAGACTTCAGCTGTTCAACTCAGTTTTTGGTTTTCAGGCTTAAATTTTTGCCTCTTTGGCTGAAAATTGTGAGAATTTTGTTGTTTTTTTTGTGATTTTTTTGGTGAGTCTTTGTGTTGCTCCTGAAAAAACAGAGTCTTGAAGATGTTGAATTGTGGTTTTTGGCGGCGTTGGCGACTCTCACTTTAAACATCTTGTTGACTTGGTTGTTGATCGAACCCTCTGCTGACAGAACCTGTCAGGTATTGTTGGTTTTCTTTGTGCGTCTTCTCGGGGTCACAAACATCTTTTGCTTCTCCCTGAAATTTCCCGTCTTTTTTCCTTTAATAACTTTTGAACCGGTCTCCGTCTTTGCTCCGGGACCAGCTCCGATCGGCGGCGGCGTACCTGAACACCGTGTACCTGTCGTCTGATTCGCTCTGACAAACACAGACGCTCTGATATGAGAGATGCTTAAACAAAGAGCTGCGTCTGCTGGACCGACTCGCAGCCCGGTGGCCAATAGGGGGCCTTGTAGTTAATGACACTTATGCAAGGGGTGTCTAAGCCTGTGTGTGTGTGTGTGTGTGTGTGTGTGTAAGGGTGTGTAAGGCATATATGCAGTTACCATGGTAACCCGCCTAGCGCCTCTCTGCACTGCGCTCTTGACCCTTTTTTCTTTTTGGTTAGATAAACACATTTTAATTCACTGGCAGAGCCGCCCTCCATCCTGCCTGCAGCTCCATCTGCAAGACAAGGAGGAGGAGGAGGAGGAAGGTGCAGCGTGGCCCAGTTTATTTCAAACTGGTAGTAGTGGTTGGAAATACTGCTGCTGACCTGCTCAGTGGAAAACTGAACTGGTTTAAATACAAACCAGTAATTGATCAGTTTGATTAATTAAAGAAGATTTCAGGAGCTTAAAGACGTCGATGAGAATAAAGATCAAAGATGAAATAAACTTAATATGTGGCCTCAGCATCATCAGCTCATCACCAATACAGATCATTTAACAATGATAATGATAAAATTAATGATAATAATAATTTTAATTATAATTATCATAATTAAATAATAATAAATGATAATAATTATAATAATAATAATACTAAAAATGATAAAATAAATAATAATAATAAAAACAATAATAACAACAATAATAATTATAATTATCATAATAAAATAATAAAAATGATAAAAAATAATGATAATAATTATAATAACAACAACAACAATAATAATAATAATTATAATTCGACGACCGTTCCAGATGTAAATAGAATCTGAAAGGATGTTCGACTCCTGCTGAGGTGGACGAGTAAAAACATTTTTCACATTTTTCCTTATTTTCATATTTTGGACCGGATGAATTCTTAGATCCAGTTTTTAGAAGGTCCAACAGGAACCGGTTCAGGTTCTTGTCAGGTGAACAGATCTTTGTCTGTCTACCGTAAGTCTCACCATGAATGAACGCGTCTGTTTGCGTCTATTTTCACACATAAAGCTCATTAAACCAAACAGTCAAACTTTCTGCACCTTATAGTGTCAAAAATCGGGTAAGTGGGCTCCTCCAGCTCTGACTGGTTTGACTGTGGATGTAAACTCTGACCCATTATCAGTAAATAAAGAGATATAACAGACTCAGCTGTGACACAGTTGGACCTCTTTGTCGTCATGTGGGTTAGAACAAACTCCTGACTGTGGTTCTTCAGAACTGACCGGGTCATTTTACATTAAAGATGGTGGTGAAGTTAGTGGAAAAAGACTAAAAGAGTTTGAAGACAACAAGTTTACCCTAAATGAAAGTTTATGATATTTTCAGGTATAGAAACGAAGGTAAATAAATCATGAGGCGAGAGTTTCAGGTGTGATCATAGAAGGTTTTAGAAATCACTCATTAAAAAATAATCTGTTTTTTTACTTTACAAAAGAATTAAGTGTGAAACAAAAGGGTTTTTGATTTATACTTCCTTCATAAAACCATATTTCTCTTATTGCGCAGAAACCCGTTTTGACTATTGAAATTACTAAAAAGGGCAATTAGAATAATCAATAAGGTAGGATATTAATTTGTAAATTCCAAATAAAGCATTAAAGCTGAGCGATTTTGATATTAGATATTAGAGATTCTGAACAACGTCAAAAACTATGAAGAACTTCTTTAAACTAAGAGTTGATAATTATAATCTTAGAGGTTTGGGTCATTCTGATTAAATCCAGACGAGTTTCTGTTTTTGGTGTAAAGTTTTAAAACCAGAATATAAATTATGTTCATTTCAGTGACTTTATGTAGGAGAACATTTCGATCCACGTAAACTAACGTTGGTTTGTCGTGAGGTTATCTTGTTGGGGGTTCGAGTTTTCACAGACGGTTCCAGGTTCTGGTGTTTGTGGCGTTTGTTTACAGAAGCGTTTAAGGTGACCTTAAAGGTCGTCTCTGTTTTTGTTTCATCTCTCTCTGTTCGATCAGGATTCACATTTTCCTCCTTTTATTTTGAAAATCCTGTTTGTGTATCTGTTTCCTGTAGGAGCCGAAGACTTCCTCCCAGCTGCTCGATGATTGGGGCATGGAGGACATCGACCACGTCTTCACCGAGGAGGACTACCGCTCCCTGACCAACTACAAGGCCTTCAGCCAGTTTGTCAGGTAAACCCGCAGAAGAGCGCCACCTCTGGACTCCAGAGTTTCAGAACCGCAATAATCTTAATCTTCGTCTTCAGGCCTCTCATCGCCGCCAAGAACCCAAAGATCGCCGTCTCCAAGATGATGATGGTTCTGGGAGCGAAGTGGCGAGAGTTCAGCACCAACAACCCTCTGAGAGGAGCCGCCGCAGCCAACGCCGCCCTGGCCACAGCCAACGTGCCGGCGGCCGTCGACACCATGGTGGCTGAGGTCGCTCCGGCTGCCGCTGCGCCGCCGGCCCCTGAACCTCAGCAGACTCCTCCGCCGCCAATACGCAAGGCGAAGACGAAGGAGGGCAAAGGTAGAGTTTGGGAACGGCGGCGTTTGAAATGATGGTCGTCATCCTCAGTCAGAATTCTCTCTTTTCTCCTCTGTGCACGACTGACCGCCGCCTTCCTGTTTCAGGTCCAAACGCCCGCAAAAAATCGAAGCCTGCGCCTAAACCACAAGAGAAGAAGAACAACGCCAAAACCAAGAAGGTGGCTCCTCTGAAAATCAAACTTGGAGGATTCAACAGCAAACGGAAACGCTCCTCGGTACGACCTCCTCCTCCTTTTTTCAAACATTCAGCGTCTTCTACGGCGAGCTGGTTTTCATGTCTCATGTCCTGCAGAGCGAGGAGGACGAGCCCGACGTGGACAGCGATTTCGATGACGCCAGCATGAACAGCGTCTCTGTCTCAGAGGGGTCCAACAGCCGCAGCAGCCGCAGCAAAAAGAAGGCGTCCAAGAGCAAACCCAAGAAGAAGAAAGGTACGTGTGCGCGAACGCCGAAGCTCTTCTTCTTCTCCTTCTTCTTCTTCTTCTTCTTCTTCTTCTTCTTCTCCTTCTTCTTCTTCTCCTTCTCATTCTCCTTCTCCTTCTTCTCCTTCCTCTTCTTCTCCTTCTTCTTCTTCTTCTCCTTCTTCTTCTCCTTCTTCTTCTTCTTCTTCTTCTCCTTCCTCTTCTTCTCCTTCTTCTTCTTCTTCTCCTTCTTCTTCTTCTTCTTCTTCATCTTCTCCTTCTTCTTCTTCTTCTTCTTCTTCTTTTTCTCCTTCTTCTTCTTCTTCTTCTCCTTCCTCTTCTTC